TAGTAGACTTAGTACCGTCTCTGTAGCATCCATGAAACGCTTCAAGAAAGGTCGTAAGTCTGGGCCAACGTGTGATTGTAAACCTTTCAAAATTATTCGGAATAAATTTTCCCGTTTTTGCCCACCTGTTGCGAATGATGTTGAGGTTCCGAGCAAGTGAAGGAACAATCAAAAGGAGAGGTGTTACAATTACAAAAATGAACAAGGCTAGCAGAGACAGTAGGACGTAAGGTACATGTTTCCCCCCATGATAAGGAATAGTTCCATCATAAAATGGAACATAACCCCACTGATATCAATGAAAAGCACTGAAGTGCAAACCCTCGGCGCACTGTGACGCGCACACGTAAGTAAACGCATGCGCAGTACCACTAATTGATGGGCTGGGTTTAGTTTTAGCTGTTACTCGTGGTCTCTTGCCAGCTCGCGCAGAGTCCGACGCGGGCTAACTACACTACTAGATAGCATTCGAGAGGCGATACACGCCCTGCGTATGCCTCCGAAGTACGCAGAGCACGATCCACGGTAAGCCATCCTGTCCGTTGCGTATTTGCATATTAGCTTTTTCGCGCTCTAGCTTTGCAACGGAGCATTTTCAGAGAAAACCGCACATATTTTCTGACCTTCATTGCCCGTTAAGTAGATCGTATCCTTTGTGAGACGAACAAACACCCGAGAAGTGAGATTGAGAGTAACGGACAGACAGACAGACAGACCCAATGAAAAGCACTAAAGTGCAAACCCTCGGCTCGCAGAGAGTCTGGCACGGGCTAGTAGATAGCACGCGAGAGTCGATACACGCCATTCGTTGTGACTTCTTGTGCCTTCAAGATAGACAGAGCAAGCGACCCCGTCGAAGTAAGCCTGTAAATATAAGCGCATGCGCATTATCCGCCAGCGATAAAATGGCGACTACCGGCATTAGCCATACAATGCTGGAAGCCCTCTAGCTTTGCAACGGAGCATTTTCCGAGAAAACCCCACACATTTTCTGACCTTCATTGCCCGTTGGGTAGATGGTATCGTTTCTGGGATGAACAGACGTTCGAGAGGTGAGATGTAGAGTAACAGACACACGGACAGACAGACCCAATGAAAGCACTAAAGTGCAAACCCTCGGCGAAGTAGCTCGCAGAGTGTCTGACACGGGCTAGCTACAGTAAGATAGCACGCGAGAGTCGATACACGCCATTCGTTGTGACTTCTTGTGCCTTCAAGATAGACAGAGCAAGCGGACCCGGTCGGTGCTAAATATAAGCGCATGCGCATTATCCGCTAGCGATAAAATGGCGACTACCGCCATTAGCCATGCATACAATGCTGGAAGCGCTCTAGCTTTGCAACGGAGCATTTTCAGAGAAAACCCCACAAAATTTCTGACCTTCATTGCCCGTTGAGTAGGTCATATCGTTTGTGAGACGAACAAACATTTGAAAAGTGAGATGTAGAGTAACAGACACACACACACACACACACACACCCAACTACAGTACCCTCGCTGCGCATGCGCGCCGAGGGTAATGAAAGGCACACGTAGACAAATAAGCCTTAGTTCTAATGCATTTAGATCAGATAGCTCAGGCGGTATTTCAGACAACTGTAACCCATTAGCTTTAGCTTGCAATGGCATTACTCCTCGCTTCAATGCTCTGTCACATGTCTTACACACCCACTCATTGCCAGTATCGCTAACATATCTGAGGTCAGCACTGAACACACATTCCAGCAAGTTGTTGCTGACTGGGTAACATGGGACAACACTCTTGCTATACATCAGACGGTGGCAACATGAGCAAACGCAAACAAAATCAGGTCCGTTCTTGATATCAGAATGAAATAGCTTGTTGCACAGACACATTGCTTGCTTTTTTAGTTGCTCTCATGCTTGCCATGTGCTCTCTATTCTGCTGTTGTCTATGCACAGTTTGCTCGCTATTTTCAGTTGTTCTCGTGCTTGCCATGTGCTCTCTATTCTGCTGTTGTCTATGCACAGTTTTCCCGCTAGTTTCACTTGCTCTCACCATGTGCTCTCTATTCTATGCACAGTTTTCCCGCTAGTTTCACTTGCTCTCATGCTTGCCATGTGCTTTCTGTTCTGGAGTTGTCTATGCACGGTTTTCTCGCCAGTTTCTGATCAACCTATCCTTAGCCTTCATAGCTGATTTGACTGTAAGACTCGCATACGTTTCATGGCTTTGTCTGGCAAATTACGCTCTGCTTTTCTCTTGGATCGAAAGACATGCATGTTCGCAAGATTTACACACTTTCAGCCTTATTGGTACACACTGTGGGCATACCTTACTCGGAGGCATGACAGTCAAATAGAAACTCACGGAACTGGAGAACGTCATTGTCACCGAACGAGAAAGAAATGGCCGCTTCCACCACGTGCTCGAATATAATGCGCATGCGCATTTTCCGCAGCGATAAAAATGGCGACTACCGGCATTAGCCGTACAATGGTGGAAGCGTTCTAACTTTGCAACGGAGCATTTTCAGAGAAAACCGCACAAATTTTCTGACCTTCATTGCCCGTTAAGTAGGTAATATCGTTTGTGAGACGAACAAACATTCGAGAAGTGAGATGTAGAGTAACAGACACACACACACACACACATACGTAGTACCCTCGCTGCGCATGCGCGCCGTGGGTAATGAAAAGCACTGAAGTGAAAACCCTCGGCGACGCGCACGCGTAAGTAAAAGCATGCGCAGACTAATTGATGGGCTCGGTTTAGTTTTAGCTGTTACTCGTGGTCTCTTGCCAGCTCGCGCAGAGTCTGACGCGGGCTAACTACACTACTAGATAGCATGTGAGAGGCGATACACGCCCTGCGTTGCATCTTCTTGTGCCTCCGAAGTACGCAGAGCACGATCCGCGGTAAGCCATCCCGTCCGTTGCGCTTTTTCGCGCTCTAGCTATGCAACGGAGCATTTTCAGCACACCTCCATTGCCCGTTAAGTAGATCGTGTCCTTTGTGAGACGAACAAACACCCGAGAAGTGAGATTGAGAGTAACGGACAGACAGACAGACAGACAGACCCAATGAAAAGCACTGAAGTGCAAACCCTCGGCGCACTGTGATCATGCGCACGCGTAAGTAAACGCATGCGCCGTACCACTAATTGATGGGCTGGGTTTAGTTTTAGCTGTTACCCGTGGTCTCTTGCCAGCTCGCGCAGAGTCTGACGCGGGCTAACTACACTGCTAGATAGCATGCGAGAGGCGATTCAGGCCCTGCGTTGCATCTTCTGGTGCCTCCGAGGTACGCAGAGCACGCGGGTCGATCATGCCCGTTGTGTATTTGCATATTGGCTTTTTCGCGTTCTAGCTTTGCAACTGAGCGTTTTCAGAGAAAACCGTTCGAATTTCTGACCTTCATTGCCCGTTCAGTAGGTGGTATCCTTTTTGAGACGAACGAACACTCGAGAAGTGAGATTGAGAGTAACAGACAGACAGACACACAGACAGACAAACAAACCCAATGAAAAGCACTAAAGTGCAAACCCTCGGCGAAGTAGCTCGCAGAGAGTCTGACACGGGCTAGCTACAGTAGTAGATAGCACGAGAGAGTCGATACACGCCATTCGTTGTGACTTCTTGTGCCTTCAAGATAGACAGAGTAAGCGGACCCGGTCGAGGTCCGGTAAGCCTGTGCTAATATAAGCGCATGCGCATTATCCGCCAGCGATAAAATGGCGACTACGGGCATTTGCCATACAATGCTGGAAGCGCTCTAGCTTTGCAACGGAGCATTTTAGAGAAAACCGTTCGAAATTTCTGACCTTCATTGCCCGTTAAGTAGGTCGTATCCTTTGTGAGACGAACGAACACTCGAGTGAGATTGAGAGTAACAGACAGACAGACACACAAACACAAAAGCACTGAAGTGCAAAACCCTTGGCGCACTGTGATCATGCGCACGCGTAAGTAAACGCATGCGCCGTACCACTAATTGATGGGCTGGGTTTATTTTAGCTATTACCCGTGGTCTCTTGCCAGCTCGCGCAGAGTCTGACGCTGGCTAACTACACTACTAGATAGTATGCGAGAGGCCCTGCGTTGCACCTTCTGGTGCCTCGGAAGTACGCAGAGCACGCGGATCGATCCGACTGCGGTAAGCCGTCCCGTCCGTTGTGTATTTGCGCTTTGCAACGGAGCAGTTTCAGAGAAAACCGTTCTAAATTTCTTACCTTCATTGCCCGTACGTCGTATCCTTTGTGAGACGAACAAACACCCGAGAAGTGAGATTGAGAGTAACAGACAGACAGACAGACAGACACACAAACCCAATGAAAAGCACTAAAGTGCAAACCCTCGGCGAACTGGGCATGCGCGGTACCGCTAATTGATGGGCTGGGCTGCTATTATTAGTATCGTGGTCTCCCGCTAGTAGCGTCTGACACGGGCTAGCTACAGTAGTAGATAGCATGTGGGAGTCGATACACGCCCTTCGTTGTGACTTCTCGTGCCTTGAAGATACATAGAGCAAGCGGACCCGAGCCATAGATAATAATATAGCGGGTTCCGCCATATTATGCCCGAGCCTGTTCAAAATATAAACGCATGCGCCTTTTCCGCAGCGATAAAATGGGCGACTAGCATTAGCCATACAATGGCGGAAGCACTCTAGCTCAGCAACGGAGTATTTTCAGAGAAAACTGTTCGAAATTTCTGACCTTCATTGCCCGTTAGGAAGGTCGTATCCTTTGTGAGACGAACAGACATTCGAGAAGTGAGATTGAGAATAACAGACCGACAGAGACAGACAAACCCAACTACAGTACCCTCGCTGCGCATGCGCGCCGAGGGTTAACCAGTGGTGTTGTATCCAGCAAGAGAAATGACACCAAAACGAAACGACTGTAGGATAGGAGAATGAAAGAAGCAAAGGTGTGTACAAGGGAACGCTGTGACGCTGAAAACGAGCAATCTGGGTGTGAAGTGGTCGAAATATGCACACAAAGCATCGAAAACCCTTCTCATATAATAAGTGTATACATCAATCAAGTTGTTGTTCGTATTATCAAGGGTTATGGCACCGCCACCATCCAGTGTGAAGACAGTTGGCAAGACTTGGGCGAAGAAGGTGAATGCGTTTGCTCGTGCCGAAGTAACACGAATGTCTAACACTACCACTATACCAAAGAGCAGGGTCAGAGGGAGGAATTGGGAGACCAGGTATAAGGCCCACATGTACTCAGGAGGACAATCTATGCACTCTAGGGTGTGAAGGGAAAGACCGTAACCATCTTTGCACTCACCATTAAGTTCACTGACATCTCTGGGAAGATCAACGTATAAGTATTTAGATAGCTACAATTTAAGAGAGGAATTGAAAGTTACTTGTCAACTTTCACCCCTCAAAGAAAGCTATATCAACTGTATCCAGCAGGAACGTTGGTGCAAAACATGCGGATAACGTGGGGCAATGATATCAAGGATAAACTTAGGAAGATCTTTATCACCCTGCCCTTGGTGGGTCAAACATTTAGATAGCTACAAGAAAGAAATTGAAAGTTACTTGTCAACTTTCAACCTCAAAGAAGGCTATATAAACTGTATCCAGCAGGAACGTTGGTGCAAAACATGCGGATAACGTGGGGTAATGATATCAAGGATAAAAAAACTAGGACGCTGTAGAGTCACTTAGCAAGTTGAAAGCACCTTGTCATTTACTTACAACTCCATGCTGCACATCACAGAGGTTATAGCTACCAATACCACCAACTGACTTCCTCTGTATTTTCAGCCAGATCTAATTGGTATTTTAGCACATGAGTTTCTGTTCATATCAACTCTATGACTATAGCTATATAATATGTATGTACACCTTCCTTATTTGGCAGAACCATTAATTCACATATCGTGCACAATACACAGTTAATGAAATGTTAGTCACACACACACACACACACACACACTGTTTAAGCTAGCTATGTAGTCTCTACACACCAGAGGCTCACTGAACGTAGAGCTCCATTGTTTCAAAGGGCACGTCTTCATTGCTGAGAGCCTCGTCCAGACAGAGCCGTAGCTCAATGTCATCAGCAGTTGGTGTGGACAAGTTCTTACAGAACCACGGAGGAGAGTTGAAGGTACAGCAGGAGCCACTGATGCAACCAGCACCGTCCCAGAGTCGGTCATTGGTTAGGTAGGTAAATGGAGGGTCTGTATCATAGCGGTGACCACTGTCACAGAAGTAATCATTGCCAACATATGGTGGTATAGTTCCACTGTAGGAAGCACCATTGCAGGGACAGCTATATTGATCAGTTCTGTACTGAATGCCTCCAGCAGCAAAAGTCCAGATATGGTTACGTGGGGAGTCATGCGATAGGACTATGCCATCAACAAAGATAGTGTCAATAGATCCACCATTGTTAAGATAATTATTAAACGCATTTGTCCTTCCAAACTGGTAGCCAATGATTTTCCCACACACTCGACTGTACTGGAGTCCATGTGAGCTGAAAGTGGTACTGATGCATCTTCCGCTTTGCCCTCCACACATTGTCTTGCCAGAGTCAGTGACCTTTCTGAACCCTGCTGGACAGTTCTCATTGGGTCTAGTCATGTTGATATCGGCCACTCTCGTCCACCCTCCTCCCCCCTCGTCACACCCACACACCCTCTCCATATCACAGAACACCTGCACTACACGGCCTGTGGGGCTCAGCAACCAGTAGTAACCTGCATTTTTACATTAACTACAGTGTCATCTCAGATTAACTATTACACTATGTTGATAACTGGTCAGCATACAACAGTTTTTCCTTACCTGAGGTTGTTCCAGGATTGTCAAGGAGAATTTGGTTACAGCTGTCTGCTGGGTTTCGGAAGGTTCCAACTGTGTCTTGACATTGTGCTATATACCGTAGCAGCATTGCATTGTTGTGTGCAATGGTATAAACTCTAGCCACAGATGACAATACTGAAATTAAGGATTTACTGGAGGACTAACTAACCCAGCGACAGATTTTTATTTCAGTATTGTCATCTGTGGCTAGAGTTTATACCATTGCACACAGCAGCTGGGGTATAGCTAATCCTTTACATCTCAGTTTGGTCCACAATGAAAGAGCATGACTAAGACACGCATAATTACGTAGCAAATGCGATGTGCAGACCAGTAGCACTAATGGATTGCTTGTGAATGCTTGCAGCTTCAGGAAAATTAATGTGTGTGCCTTTTGGCTACTTCCTTCTAGCTAGAGCTACATGTGGCTATACTTACTCTGTGTGATGTTGAACACAATGGACATCAGAACAGTGTCTCCAGTCACTTCACTTCCACACTCGCGAGCTGGACCTTTGGATGTAGTAAAATCGGGGTAGTGGCTGTTTTGTACTAGCTATTGCACTGACTAGCAGGGATACCTGTATTGATGGAGGAGCAGTGGTCCTTGAGAATGTTGACAGTCGCATTCTGCCAGTAGTGTAGCTGTGAGTGTAGCTGATCCACCTCTGCCTTAACAGCAGCCAGTTCCTCCTGACTCACACACTCAGTAGAGTTATCTCCATCTGCAGTGACAGCAAACTGAGTGTGTCGTATGTATCAGTCTCTCTCAGTCCCTCACCTACTGTACAAACTGCAGCAATGCTCAAAAAGAGCAGCAGAATCAGACTACAAGTCATGATAGCGGAATGCCGTACGTAAATCAACGCGCACTATATATAGCACTCAAGACTGGCTGCATGCCGGAAGATGAAATTGAAATCTACTTATGATTAACTAAACTTGGACCTTGTGTTCGCAAAGTCTTTGTATAATCGTGACAAAATCATCCCATGGCTGTACTTCATTGTAATTATTGAGCAACATCATGCTAGTAAAGTTTTAATCACAGTTGTACACTGCAGGCAACAGCAAAACACATGAAGTATATATTATATTACAAAACATTATCCCTGGCTAGTTGCCAATTGAGTCTCGAGTTCTTCACTTTTGAAACTCTTCCCAGTTGGTATTACTCCGGTCTGTGAATATGCCGCATTACTGTAGATAGGCACATCAGTGGTGTTGGTGGTTGGGCTGGCATAATACGTCTCAGTGTTGTTTTTCCTAGACCTCCTCATTCTGATGATGAGTACGCATTGAGTCACAACAACTGTAGTGAGAGTGACCATCAGGAGGAGAGATACCACAGACACAGCAATCAGAGCAGAATCCACACAATCTTCAGAAGTAGGCAGAAGTTCCACTGCAGTAATAGAGTTATCCCATTGTAGAACAAAAAGACCAGAAGAAGTGCTATGTCATTATAAGCAGCACATGGTAATTATTGTACATGGGATCAAGCAGACAATGCCTGTGGTATATATACTTATTGCTACACACTTTTATACAACAGCTAACTTGGCTTGGCAACACCAATCATCAACTCTGCCTGTACACTCTGAGTACATACCTAGCCTACCAGTATTCTGAGAGGAGCAGTGGTCCTGGACAATGTTGCGGATGTTTATGCTCTGCCAGTAGTGGATCTGCGAGTGTAACTGGTCAACTCGCTTCCTAACAGCAGCCAGCTCCTGCTGACTCACACACTCAGTAGAGTTATCAGTAGTTGAGTCACCTGCAGTGGTAGCACCCTCAACTAACTTGTCTCTCTGTCTCTCTCTCTGTGTATGTATCAGTCTCTCAGTCACTCACCTCCTGTGCCAACCACTGAGGTGGCTGAGAGCAGCAAAACCAGACCAGCTATCACACAGCGAGACATGGCTACTAACTGCTTTCTCCTCACAAATTTGTACTGTTTACTTTTAGTAAGGGGGAAACTGAAGCAATGTGTATTAGTAACAGTTGTTTACACAGGTTATCTGGAGTTACGTTTTCTTATTCTTCTGCCTGGTTTTTTCTAGCCCTGGTATATATGTAGTGATCCTTCACATCAACTCTACACCTAATAGTTACTTTACCTTGATTATTGCACAGTTGTGAGATAACAATGCAGGAGCTTCAAAAGATCAAACCTTCAGAAGCACTCCATAATAACTAAGAGCCAACTAAATTATATAAATCACTATATAGGAGCAAGTAAATCAGTATTATGCGGAAAGAAAGACATAGTCTTTTCTCTTATATATTATACTAAAACATATAGTTTATATACAAAAAGTTGTGCTAGAAGTATGTAGCTATAAGCCTACACTAGGTCATTCTCTTCATAGTTCTCAAAGTATATTATATTAGTCGTACTTCGAGATATCACTTCCCCTTGTTGCCTTCTTGCTTGGAGAAAGTGACTCTTGCCCTTCGATTTCCTCATTATCATCGTTTGAAGCACCAGGACTGGTTGATTTGTTGGACGGGGTGGAGTTTGGGCCTGGTTTCTGCCAGCTTTTGGTTGGTCTGTAGGTGTTCATATCCTCCATTCTGCCAGTTTCCTTCATGAAGGACAAATAGTCATGCGAGCCGGACATTGTCAGGGGCCCCTCTTCGTTACTAACCAAACCCTCTTGTTCTGGATCAATTACAACTGTTTGTCTGCGACGTTTTCTTTCGGCAAGTTTGTCACGAATACGACGATAAAGATGCCTTATCACAACCACCGAGATGTAAATGAGAGGAACAAACACCAAGAAGTACTGCAGGCTAAAGGCAGTGGGCGATGATTCAGAGCTTATGATAGTTGTTCCATAGTTGTACATTGTCAGTGTGTTAATCCCCAAAAGGAGGGCAAACATGGCTGCGTCTAACTTGTTGTAGTAGTCGTCTTTGTAAGGACGCAAGATGATAAATGCCAGGAGTCCCACAACACAGAAGAATTGGATAAAAGAGTACTGCTCAAACCAATCACGAGTGAAGGCATACACAGCAAAAAGGGCTATGCAAAGAATAAGATAGAAACCAGCAAACCAGCGATAGTCAAATTCCACACATTTTTCAGTAGACTTAGTACCGTCTCTGTAGCATCCATGAAATGCTTCAAGAAAGGTTGTAAGTCTGGGCCAACGTGTGATTGTAAACTTTTCAAAATTAAATTTTCCCATTTTTGGCCACCTGTTGCAAATGATGTTGAGGTTCCGAGCAAGTGAAGGAACAATCAAAAGGAGAGGAGTTACAATTACAAAAATGAACAAGGCTAGCAGAGACAGTAGGACATAAGGTACATGTTTCCCCCCACGATAAGGAATAGTTCCATCATAAAATGGAACATAACCCATCACTTTTCCACTGATATCAACTAGTGGTGTTGTATCCAGCAAGAGAAATGACACCAAAACGAAACGACTGTAGGATAGGAGAATGAAAGAAGCAAAGGTGTGTACAAGGGAACGCTGAATGTTCCAGTGACGCTGAAAACGAGCAATCTGGGTGTGAAGTGGTCGAAATATGCACACAAAGCATCGAAAACCCTTCTCATATAGCCAGACTAAAACACGCACTATCCCTATCAGTACCAGTGGATAGACGGCTTCAAGATAAGTCATGGATATGGCTTCCAAGCTACTAAGTTGTGGACTAAGACAGATCCACTTGCGAAAGAACTGTAGATTCCAGATGTTATACAAGTAAGTGTATACATCAATGAAGTTGTTGTTCGTATTATCAAGGGTTATGGCACCGCCACCATCCAGTGTGAAGACAGTTGGCAAGACTTGGGCGAAGAAGATGAATGCGTTTGCTCGTGCCGAAGTAACACGGATGTCTAGCACTACCACTATACCAAAGAGCAGGGTCAGAGGGAGGAATTGGGAGACCAGGTATAAGGCCCACATGTAGTCAGGAGGACAATCTATGCACTCTAGGGTGTGGAGGGAAGGACCGTAACCATCTTTGCACTTTCCACACAGTATTCCTTCCCTATGAATATTGTCACAAAGAAAACCATTAAGTTTACTGATATCTCTGGGAAGATCAATGTATAAGCCTTTTGAACTGGAGTCAAAATAAGGAGTCCTGCTAAACTATTGTGTCATGATGATACACACCAATCCAGTTCCCTCGTTGTATTTTGGTACGAAAATCTGCCTCATTGCAATTAACTACTTTACTATTGAAATCACCTTTACACTGACACGAGGCAACGGCATCGGTGTCTCCCACTAACTCCATCCCTGGAGGGCACTGCAGAACAGTGACGTCCAGTTCCACTTGGATCACTCGAGGGTCGATAGTCTCAAGAATTACTGTTCCATTGATTACTCTGTCATTTCTTGCATGTATTTTGATACTATTGCTGGAAATGTACAGGCTACTAGAGTCAATATGTATATCATCGTCGTCAGGGGATCTGGCAAGAAATACACTCGCGCTCGTCACATTGTTTTTGCGATCGTCCCACATAGTCAGATCTGTCTTGCTCCGTTTACCGGGAAATATCTTGATCGTGTAATTTGATGTAGAGTCGAAAGTTGCTGGTGAAGTCCGAGTTTCAGTTTTGCAGTTGCCATCATCATAATCCCATTTGTCAGACCAACAGAACACGTTTGAGAGATCATTAGAGGAATTTCCAGAGGGGCCTTCCCACTGACATATCAGAAGAGAGGATGCAAAAATTGATTCGTTGCGGCCATTGGCAGTGTTGCCAGAGAAGAAGAATGTTGAGGTCCACTCGCTAGGTGCGACTGAGATATCACTGTAGCGAATAAAACAGTTTCTGGAGTTAATGAGATCATGTTCGCCAATCGATATCGCATAGATTGCTCCTCCCTCAATTTCAGCAGTGTTATTGACAAATTCTACTCTGGATAAAGGAGACGTCTGAATGAACGCTGCACCGAGTAGTGCAATGGCACCACCATTGCGACCTTTGTTGTTTGTGAAGCTCACAGTAGAACTGGGTGTGATGTAAATCCCAGGGGTTATTGCAGCAATGGCAGAGTGATCATTATCCCGAAAGATGTTCTCGCCCGTGAAATAGACTGGGATGGAGTCAAGGTAAAGTGCACCTATTCCAACAACAGTGCTTCGACTTGTAGTGTAATTAGTCGTAGTGTAATCACCAGTGTTTCCTTCAAAACTACAGGTAGTAAATTTAACAACAACAACAGCTCCTTTGGGTTCTGTATGCCACACCGATAAATCAGCTCCAGAACCAGCTCTGGCAACATTCCCCTCCCATGTCGTGTTCGTAAAACTCAGAGAATTAGTTGCATTGTTCTCAGTAGGCTCTCTTGCTGCATAAAACGACACTCCGCCACCATAATAGGCAGAGTTGTTACGAAAGTTGCAGCTGTCATAAGCGATAGAGTTCAGTTTGGCGTGAGTGTCCTCGAAGAAAATGTAGCCTATTCTTGCACCACCTCCACCTGTACCCTTACTACTATCCTCTTTGAAGAGACACTCATTATATGAGAAACTGGAGCTGCTAATGGAGACGGTATTGTTCATGCTGGAATCTTGCATTTCAATTAGGAGACCACTTCCCCATAATGCAACGTTGTCTGAAAATTCACAGTTTTCAATATTCATGTAGTTGTTTGTTGCACTTCCTTTGAAGAACATTGACAACCAGCCCCCTCTGCCAAATGCCATGTGTATCCATTTCTGTGGCAGCCGAATAAATGTTAATCGATTTGAATCCGCTACTTTTGCAGTATTGTCTGAAAAGATACAGTTGGATATGATGTAGGTTGAGTCTCTGGTGTAATCATCAGGAATATTAGAGGGGCCATTGAAGCAAGAGGTGTTGCCGGGATAGCAATAGGCAAACTCAATGTACACACCACCACCTCCATTCTCAGAGTCATTCTTATTAAGTGGTTTGTTTGAGATAAAGTTGGAGTTTGTAATGTTGTTGACGCCCACTGTGCTGTACATAATCACACCAGTTCCTTCAGTCTCCTTTGCTATGACGTGGGACGAGTGGTGACAGTCGACAGAGAAGGAAATAGAGAGTACTTGTGACCTCCTGAATTGAGATCCATTAGAAGAGAAATCTTTGCTGGTGCTGTTCTGTTAGGGAAACCACGCTGGGAACACTAAATTCTCGAGTTTTATTCCATCGGATTTGATAAATGAGAGTCCAGCACTCTTTCTCACAGTCATTTCTACACAAGTTCAGTGTGCTGCAGTTCCCAGTGATAGCGAAACCTCCGTTCTCCCTTCTATCACAGTCAGCCGTGAGTCATGGTCAAGGTGTACGGTCCGCCACTGACAATCAGAGACACTGGTGTTGTCGGGAGATGTTCCTGGACACACTCGTGCAAGAGTGAGGGTTTTGCAAGGACTTTCAGGGCTCCCTGCGCAGAGCACTGGTGCTGGAGATGCCCTTT